CAGCTGGGGGAGTTCCGACCCGCCTACCGCTAGACTTATGTCGGTGAAGGATACCATATCCTATTGTTCATCAAATGCCTCGATCTTGATGTTATAGGATAGAGCATTTTTCTGCTCTATCTTCTGTGTGCCTTTATCATCAATATCGTACGCGCCAAAACGACTACTTGCGACCTTGCTTGATGGTTTCACGTATAGCAAAAGACTATACGTGGACACTTATGCATCAGATATAAGCATCGAAAAACCCGAATCAAGAAGCAAGGAAAGTAAAGAACAAAAATGGGGTGAGAGAGAGGAGACACTGATCCATCTAAAACACCAAAAAAGAGATTGGATCGGTTCTCAAAACTCGTATCGAAAAGACCTGAAAAAGTAGGGCCCGAGGTCTTTCTTAACAAACATAAAATATCCCTTTGCGCTGATTCTCCAAACCCCAAGAACGCAAGATTAATCGAATCAACCAAATACTCTCCCAAAATAAAGCTTGCAAATCCTCCCCAGATCCCAAAGTTGATATCAAAATCTTCTGACTTCCAACTTAATCCATAACTTTACATATCGAACAATCATAGAGATTTTCCCGCAAAATCATATAAATGCTCACGATCGGGATCACCACAAAGAGTTGCACAGCAGGTAAGACTCACGACCAGTGTCGGCAGAGAAGAGGAAACAACTAACAAGGTTCTCGACCCAAAGCTAGGAACGGGTACAAAAGGGCTCACGGTCAGGGCCAACAAAGAAGAGGAAACAACCAACAAGGCCCATAACCAAAGGCAACCTAAAAGACAACAGGTAAGGCTTATATTTAAGGCAACAAAGGGGCATAAAAAGAACTAATGAAGCTCACGGTTTAAGGCAGCAAAGAACAGCTGCAAAAACCCACGACCCAAGTCCATCCAAAGCACAAAGGGGCTCACGGCTAAAACCAATAAAAAGACCACCAAAGGCAACTATGCTTCCCTGACAAACATGAAATGATAACTAAAATAATTATAATTTTTTTTGGATGACAAACTTGATTCATCCATAACCCTCCAAATGATTCAAACTCAACAAGAAGGAATAAATTAAACTCAGGGAATTTCAATGGGTCTCACGGGTAGGGGCCAAATAAAGCAAACCAAATCCCCTCAAACTAGAGCCAGACTAAGTCCAGCAAAGGCCAAACAAAGAAAAAAGAGACCACCCCCAACTATCCACGACACTCAAATCGGGTCAAAGAAAAAAAGACATGCTCTCTGCTCACAGAAAGCGAAGCCACCAAAGCCTCTCGGACCGAGCGGCGAGACTAATGGCAGCGAGGGAAGCATCGGGGATAAGAGAAAAAGGGAACAAGCTTCCCAGAGTCAAACTACCAAGAAAAGGAAAACCACAGCTCAGAAAGAATGGCACGGCTTCGGGAAGGCCTCGGGCAGCAGCATGTCAGGCAAGGACGAACGAGGTCAACCTTCTCTCGCGAGGAGGAGGAAGAGTTCGGTCGGCTCGAGAACTAGAAAGGGAAAGGGCTAAGCACGCGAACGGGAGAGTGAAAGGAGGCAGAGCTCGGGTGCGTGCATTAGGGGAGTTAGGGCTTAAAGAGGAAAGGGGTAAAATAGTTTTAATATAAATTAATATATATATATATATATACACATATATATAATTAATATATATATATATATATATTAAATTATATTCGATTTACTCGCGCGCGACGACGTAACAAAACGAGTGTCCTTCTCAGAAAAAATTGACGCTCCGGACGTGCCGGTGTAGTCCGTTTTGTCATCCGGGGTCGCTCGAACGACGTCGTCGACAATCAGGTCAAAAACGCGTCAAAATTCAAATTTTACAAAATTTCGACCCGCGATCGATCGCTTCAAAAGTTTAACTCGAGCATTCGACAAGTAACAATGCAAACAAAGCGAATCGTGGCGATCGGACACTCCGACTCTCCGAATTGCGAAGTTTTGTGCGCGGGAGTGCGAATTGTGCAAAAGGCTACCCTAAGGCTCAGGAAGGTCCTATGGGGAATCCCTTTTGGGTTTCCTCATGTTGGTTTCATCCTTCTAAGTGCTAGAAGTAGATACCACACGCGAAACTCCAGAAGGGGAGGGAAGCGGGTTGAGTTTCTAGAACAAGGCGGGTCCTATTTCTAAGGTTCTAAGATGGTCGAAGGGAGGTCCCTAAGGCTAGATCCTAAAATGTTTCAATCATATTTGATCAACCACCTCCACTAACTAAGCAGACTCAAGTCCACAACAATATAGAATAATAGGGACATAAGATCTTGACCAAGTTCAACATCATTTTCACATCAACCACTCTAAGCTAAATGTGATACATCTTTATTCATCTAAATTCAAAATTAAAGCTAACATATACTTAACAACTAAAACCTAATGATTAAACTAAATCAATATCAAAAATAATAATTAATCGTAAGCGCTAGCACCCAAGTTAAACTTAAAAATCAAATATTAAAATCTTCACAAAATGATGACAAAATCTATGGGTAGTGTTTAATAAATAAATTTAATTTTCCTTTTAAAATTTAACCTGAAACTAAACACTAAAAACTTGCTAAAGAGAGCCGGATGTGAATTTTTAAAAATCCATCGTCTTGATAAATAATGGTAAATTCATATGACTGTGATGGGCTACCAAACTAGTTTATCTTTAGGATCTAATCAAACTACAATTTGCAACATTCATATTAGATTTTTAAATTAATTTTGATAATAGAATTTCATACGATTGAAGAGTTTTGAAGAATAAATAAATATATATCTTATTCTTAAAAATAAATTTAAATTTTAAAAAAGTGTTGGGCTTATGTACAGCCTAACATAATCAAGTTAAACTCATAAGTGATTAAGATGATTTGCCCAAGATTATTTCTATATATAAATAGTCATACGAGGTCAAATCATAATAGGATATTTTTCATAAACAAGGGAACTGCCACCAAATAATTATAGTCAACTTATCATGAATAGATCAAGTGTTTACACTGAAGTGAATGTTCTCTATTAAACGATGCTAGTTTATCTTGCAGATGAACTTCAATAATATGAGAAGAGAATTGAGTCAATCAACTATCAAACTCAGGATTCAAGTTTTTAAACAAGAAACAAACATTTGAAAGAAAAAAAAGTTCTAGACATTTAAAAAGAACTCTGAGTGTACAAAGTGCAAGATAAGTCCAAATAGAAACAATTTACATAAAGAGGAAAGGAATGATTTTGTTACAGTATATAACCAACACCAAATGTATTCAACAACAATGTATGACCAAATAACAAGATCACTAATCCAAGAAAAGTATATTATCAAGTCAAGAAAAAACTATTCCACATGCAATATGGCTTAGATCCAAAAAGATTCCGAAAAGGAAAGTACTAAGTGGAAGTTAATAAAACCAAATAAACATAAACCTCTAGGGAATAACTTTTCAAATGAGCATAGCTAGGTCAAGAGAAATTCCAGTCAAAATGGTATGAACTAGATTAAGGATAAACTCTATGACAGCATTGTTATGAAGGAGAAGACTAAACAATTGATCTATATTAAAAGAAGTAACCCAAGTAGGTTTATAATAACTATAAATTTCACAGAGTACTTCTAAGTTCAATCTAAAATAGTTTGACATCGGACACTCGGCTTGCTTAGAGCCTATGAAACTAACTCAAAAAAAAAATAAGGAAAGAAAGAATTTAAAAAGACTTAAGCTTGAAAAAAAAATTCTAAGTAGAATGATTTAGTTTGGGTTTAGCTACTTCTTTTTAGTAATATTAAGTAGATGGTATATCCTAAATATTTCAGTCATCATAAGAACTCGTGCTCAGAGTAAGATCTTGCAGTGCAAGTTTGCCAGGTAATATGCGTATATGGAGGAATTATTATTAAACATGTGATCTAGATTGTTCAATTAAAATAATCTATTCAGGCATTCTAAAATTTTCATAGGACCAGCATTTATTTTTATGCCCATGTGTTTGGTGATTGAATATTGAATAACTATAGTTATTTGGCAGAGTAGATTCCTCTTATTTGTGCTCGCTAGATTGCATTGCTCAAATATAACTCACTCTTGCATCAGCATCATAATCCGGTGTTGTTGTGCGCTTGTAGATTCAATCTTATGCTTATAAGTTTATCTCACTTGTTATTTTTGCAGATCTCATACAGTTTTACTTATAATTATGTTGGGTGAGTATGTTTGATTAGATTGATTTACTTATTCTAACGTGCGTTGTCCACAAAGTAAACATTATCTTGTTGTGGTTATTAAATATTGTATTATGTTACTTCACATGTTCATTTTGTCGGATTGAATTGATTGAATAAAAAAAAAATATATATATATATATATGACCAGCTAGATTCAAAGGTATCTCCATTATCACTTTCTAAGCTATCAACTCAATGAGTACCTGAAAATAAAAGATAGCATCAAAAGGATAAATAATAAATTGAAATACAAAGAAGCCATTCCAATCTATACCTGGATGTCCCCATGCAGCTTCCAGACTGAAGAAAAATTGCCTGAAAGATGAGAACAAGCTCTAGTAATTTCTGAAGCTTCCTACAGAGCAAAGACGGACAACCCCATAGAATCAGTTTATATTATATTCTGCAATGAATATCAGAGATTGGGAAAAGCATGCTATCATGTCAACAACAAACCATCAAAAGAGAAGCGCCCCATTCATATGCTCCAATACTAGCACATTCCTTTGATAGACCAAGAAGACCAGAAGCAAGCCCAAAATGTGCTGAAACATTATGAGGTGAAACGTCTAATGCCTGCCGAAACAGTTCAATTCCCTGTAAACAAGGAGTGGAGCATGATGCGTCTAAAGTATACTTCAATGAACATTTATAACTTGCTTCCATAAGCAAACTCAAAACTTAGATAAGAATTGTAAACTTTGGCCAAGAAAATTATTTCTAAGGAACAAACTTAGATGCAGACCAAGATTAGGACAATAGAGTAAAATACGTATTAATGATATGTACTAGTTGAATAAAACAGATTGCAAACAAGCGAAATGTGCTAAAAATTCTCAAAATAATCATTTCTTCTTATTGGGAAGACCAATAACAACCATTTAGACTCGCATGTACTACCATTATGACGAAAATTGATCTCCAAATTGTTGGCCTCTTAAGAGAATGAAAGAAAATTTTTACCACTTGGGTATCAATGGACCTTAAACTAGTCCTCATCTAATAAGAGGAATTGATTGGTGAGTCCCTGGGTGACCACAGTCCTCTCTAAGCTCCAAGTGGCGCGGCCAGACTAACCTATGATGAGATTCATAACCCCACAAGTGATTCAAACCCAATTGGTGATTTGATGTCCCTCAAAAATGTGATTAACCGTCATTCCTAACTCAAGGAGTCTCAAATTATTCCAAATGAAAGACTAAAGAGAACAAATATCTTAAACTATGCCTCAAGAATGACTAACATAAACTATTCTTTGCAAATTAAAAATGACTCAAGAACATGAATTGACATTGAAGAAGACCGAGAATCGTAATATTACGATCTACACTAATGCTAGCTGAGCTGAAATACTGACTCGTAGAAGATCTACCACGGGTTACTATATGGGGTAACCTGATTACTTGGAAAAGTAAAAAAAAAAGAAATTATGATGGCAAGAAGTAGTGCAGAAACTGAGTATAGTTACTATTCATTTATATGGGGTAACCTGGTTACTTGGAAAAGTAAAAAAAAAAGAGATTATGATGGCAAGAAGTAGTGCAGAAACTGAGTATCGTGTCCATGACCTAGAAATTTATGAAGGAATGTGGCTAAAGAAATTACTGGTGGAACTATGCATGGAAAACAAAAGCATTAATAAGATGTTTAATAAAAGTCAATCAAACATCAATATTTCAAAGAATATGATAGACCACGATCGAACCAAATATATAAAAATTGGCAGGCACTTCATCTCTGACAAGGTCAATGGAGGGGTTATCTAGCCAAGTTACATCCAAACTCAATATCAAATTGCGTGCATTCTTACTAAAACTCTTCCTCGGCATCACATTAGTGATCTCAGTACCAATTTTGGAATGTATGACATATACAACCCAACTTGAGGGGGGTATTATATGTATGCATTCGTGGACCACATGGGCCCACCCGCGATTTAGGAAATTGTACTTTAGCTACTAAATTTGAGGGGAAAAAGTTCTTCTCCCTTAATTATCCATTATTATGTTTTAATTCTTTTCTTCTTATTATTATGATTTGAATTTTCATCCAATTGTCTTGTAGTATAAGCTGTATATATACTTGTTATTTGTTTATATTAAAAAATTAAAAAAATTAGAGATTTTTTTCTTCTAAGAAATTTCATCCAAAATTCCGCAGTATCTTTAACCATATATCATCACAACAATCAATTAAAGATAGTTGATAGGTGGCAACTCATAGTTATTAACAGAATTCCTTGAACAATACAATGCAATTCCCTTAAGTTGTTGGTAGATTGGGTTCACCAAATCAAGTAGGCACAATAGAGTTACTTATCAATTTGCAAACCCACCTCTATCTCAGCCCCACCATTGTCTACAAACTCATATTCCAAGTACCGGTCCAAAGAGAAGCAATGTCCAAAAATAAGCGTGCTCATGGGTATCAAGCACCACCATTGTCTATAAACTCATATTCCAAGTACCGGTCCAAAGAGAAGCAATGTCCATAAATAAGAGTGCTCACAGGTATCATGCAATATTCTATAAAATGGTAGATAATGAATATTCTATCAAAGAAAAATATCATGAAAAATGAAGTAGTTTGCCATATAAATCTTCATGTATCCCAGCATCTAATTCCTAATCTCCAAAAAAGACCAAAGGGGCGATCAATCAACGAGTGCATGAGTGCTTATAAGCTTAAAAATATGCTTATTCCAATAAAATTGTGCATTAAATGAATAATAAACAAGAAACCCATTATTTTTTTCATGAGTTAAAGAGTCTAATTTGTCGATTAGCATGCAAAATAACTTCCTTTTGCCTTTTTTGCTTTTATTATAAGGAAGAACAAGATGCATGTTACACATGCAAATTTATTAATAGAAAAAAAAAACCTTACCTTTCGGAATGATCCAAGCATTAGAAGAATGTTGCCACTCTCAATTAATGAAAATAGTTTGGAATCCTCCAGTTCAATTGCACGACCATATGACTGCCACAAAATATGAAATTTTTATCAATCATATAGAATGTTTGTTCAATTATATGTGAAATATATATTAATTAGTAGCATATAATCAATTGTTCATAAAAGAAGGGCTAAGTTTATCATTTAGATTTGAGTAAACCATTTAAATTCTAAATATCCTTGATCAATTGATTTAAAATCATATTAAAGCTATTCTAAATTATTTCCTCTAACAACATAGCAACATATTTGAAAAATCATAAAGTTATTTTCATTGTCCTCTTCAAGAGCATGATCCAAAAATAGAGTTTAGTATTTTGATATTAAACAGTTAGGAAAATGTCAATAGATAAGCACATTTTTCAATTGTATGCATTAATCTTAGCAACATTATTATTTATACACTAGATAAACAATAATGAATACCACTTGCTTCATGTCTCTACTAAAACATCCATCTTCTCAGGCGCCAGTATTAAAGAAAGCATAGTAGACAGAATGATTCACAAATTAAATTATTTTCTTTATAATCCTAGTCTTTAAGATGACTTGGGCATGCTGTATAAAAAATGATCTTAATTTATTAAGATTAAACGAAAATATAACACACTCACTAGGACACAATGGAGAAAAAGGATTCATGTAGCCAAGCCCACTTAGTAGGATAAAAGCATTTTGCTGCTGCTGTTGTTAATCCTAGTCTTTAAGTTATAATTGCTCTCATCCACTGTACATCTGCCAAGATTCAATCAAAGCACCGCTGAACTTCTCATGCAAGTATTTATTTTCCAAAGTTACAGATCATGCTACTCATACCGATTTAGCACAGTAAAGCACAAGATTATTACATAACATCAAATTCATTTGCACAGTACCCATGATTAACAACTTTTAACATCAAGTACCTAGCTTTATTAATTACCTTTTCTACAGTAGTCCTTTTTTTTTTCAATATCTATGTTAAACATATCATTTGTGAAGTAGATGCAGATCTCTAAATCAGTGAAGCAACAAGCCCATTAACACTTCGAAGATAATGTCTGAGATGGTAAAAAATCGAAGGATTTTGAAAATCAAACCAAATGTTCCAAATATAAATATGATGATGTCTTTAAGTTTTGGCATTGCTAGCAACACAGTAACAATATGAATGGTGATAAAGGAAGTTGTGCCATGGATTGCTTGCAAGAATCATGAGATGAAGGTATAGGAGGCTAGCATTAGTTGGCTTCAAAGTTGCCTATGGGTTGTAGGAAGGGGAGGCATCATGATTTATAACAACATTATGTTGGGTCCTCAATTTTTGCTTCCATAATTAAATTAGAAAATATATTATTCCTTTCATCTAAATTTTAAGTAAAATTATCTTGTAGTAATACACCTCTAAAAGTAAACAAAAACTTTCCTCATTTATCAAAATAGTTTTTTTTTAATTAATACCAAGAACATTTACTACAAAAAAGTCAAATATAACTTCACCCGTGTATTTATCTTTCCTATTCTATACCCACCATTAACTCTTTCATTGCCCTAGCGTCAGTGTTTCATTTAAACCACAAATAATTATCTAATCTTCTCAAGTATAAGTCGGAAAAGTTTATCCATTGTTTAAGAAAATCGATCTTTTAAATTAACTTCTAATCAAACATGAGATGTATACACAGACAACATTTATTAAATCCTTCATGAGAACTAAATAAATAGTAATCACTCTAATCACATAAATTATTTCACCCTCTAACTCTTTATAAGCTACCATTACCGCCTCATTTTTAACCCAATACAAAATAGTTTATAGCATTATTAAATGTCCCTTGAACCTTTTCTGATTCCACTTACCTTCATGCAAGCATAAAATACCTATTCTCTTTAAAATCATTATATTAAACAATTCTCTGGATTTTCTTTTCGAAGCACCAAAATCACATGTACCAAATTTTCCTTGATTCTAACCCTAGTAAACCCTCACTGTTCACTATTATTAGGCCAAATCCGGGTGTGTCGCTGTGAGTAATATCTCAACTAACTCATCTATCCTACAAAATTGAATTAAGAAACATGTCACAAATTCTTTACAAAAAGCATTGCAAATGCTCACCACAACCAAGGTTGTAGCGCATTGCTACTAGGGAAAATCTTAGCATTCCAAATTTGATACAATTCTTAAACTTTTATGCCATTAACTTTAGGATTCATTATCAGCCTAATACCAATAATTAATCATTAAAATCCATAACTGACATTTTTTTCCAAGATTTGAATAGCCATTAAATGTAACGTGAAGACTATACATCCTCTTAAAAATCTTTAAAACTAACGGAAAGCAAATTTAATTAGCTTCTATATCATTTAATAACAATCACAATATATATTTTGGAAAAAACAGGAAAATAATTGGTGATTTTGAATAGTAAAGGCTATCAGATCATGTAATTCCGTTCACAAGAGTTGAAGAGGTAATAGCATTTCGCCAAGAGTGAGGTGAGATGAAATTTATACCATCATAGATTGTATGAATTAGAAGAATAAAAGGGTATAAGTGGATTTTTATGATGTTTTTACAAAAAATTATACCCTCATTTTCTATACATGCTTGACGATAAGATGCTTTCAGCAAAACAATCAACTTGCTTATGTTTGGTATTTGTTTTGTTAGATTTTTGTATGTAAATTTCCATAAACCAATTATTCCCATGGTTCTTTTGAACTTAAAAAATGAATTGAGCTAAACAATGCTATGCTTGATCAATCTTGAGAAATTTAAAAAGAAATAAAGGGTTGAGCATAAATTTACATTTAATAAATCTTGTTTCTCTGACAATGCACTTATAGCCAAGCAATTTGATCTAAACCAAACCGCATCGTTATTGTTATTCCAACTATTTATGGTCAACATTATAAATCAATTTCCATTTGTTCACATTGAGTATTATCTAAGGTGTTAAAGAAGTTCCCGCATATTATTTTGCGCACCTTCTATACCATGAAAGCACGGGCATAATACAAAGAGACAGATACGACACGACATGATACTGCGACAGCATAACTAAAAATAAAATAAGACACGAAAATTGTAGCCAGAGAAAAAATATACAAAATATAGAATTTTTCAATATTCTTTATTCAAGTCATCAAGAAAAAAGTATGCAAGAATAAAATTTAATTTTATTAATGTAACTTTTATTATGAAACATCATGCTTACCCAAAAAAATTTCAAAATTAGATATAATATATATTTAATAAGAATTCCTCAAACTTATTTAAGAAAATTTAAATTACCCTGCGATTACACCTTATTTAATTAATTAAGTTAAAATTTAACTTTTAGAATTAGAGTACGTATAGATTTATAACTATTAAATTGTTAATGAGTAAGAAAATTATAAATTGTTACTTACAAAACTAGCATGGCTTTGAATCCACTTGACAATGAATAGCAGCTTCAGTGCAAGAGCCGCAAAGTTCACAGGGTATTTGATCGAATTCAACAAACATATTTGACTCCTATTTGGGTTGCAACAAAAAAGCTTACAGCTTTCGCTTTAGCCAATACAATTTTGGCTTCGATGAACAAAAGAGAACAACACTCGACTTCGACAAATGCATGATGAACCTTCAATGCCCTGCTTTGACAAATAAAGAGGAAGCTATCAATGCCAGGTTTCGTGAATATTGGATGCACCTTCATTTTTCGATACTCGATCTTGATGAATGTTAGGAGAGTTTTGACATAACAAAAGAGAATGCTTCGACTATGAGATATAATTAAGACTACACATATATTTATAATCCCACTACGTGGGGTCGGCTTCTTGTCTCTTTTGCATTTCTTGTCTCTTTTTTTCCTGAATTGTGTTGCGCCCATATACAATGCAATGTTAAGGCGTGTTTTTAAATATAATGTAATTTTTGTCATATATACTACTTTATTAACATTTTTAACAAAACAAATCAATTTTTATTATCTTCCAAGCATACAATAAACAACAACAACAACAACAACAAAGTCTTAATCCCACTACGTGGGGTCGGCTACCTGAATCTTTTTTCTCCATTGTGCCCCCCTATTTAGTGTATTTAGTGTCATATTTTCATTTAGTTCAAATAAATTAAGATCATTTTTTTTTTTACAATAAGACCAAGTCTTCCTTGGTCTACCTTGTCTTTCTTAACAAAAGTTGAATCTAAAACATCCACTCTCCTAATCGGATCAACGGATGGTCGACGTTTAATGTGACCAAACCATCTAAGACGACTCTCTCTAATTTTGTCAGTCACTGGAGCTGCACTAACCATATCACGGATATGTTCATTTTGCGTTTTGTCTCTAAGAGCAAAGCCACTCATCCACTTAATCATTCTCATCTCGGCAACACTTAACTTAATAGTCCTTCTCTTTTAAAGGCCAACATTGAGCGCCATAGAGCATTGCAAGTCTCATCACCATCTTATAAAATTTTCCTTTCAGTCTAAGCATACTATTCTATCACACAAAAAAAGCCCGAAGCATTCCTCCACTTCAACCAACCAACTTGAAGTCTACTATTAACATCACCATCTATATCACCATCGCTTTGAACAAAAAACCCCTAGATATCTAAATCGTTCACACCTTTTAATAATTTGATCGCCCAAAGTTACGCTTTTGTCACAAGAGCAACTACTGCTAAAATTACATTTCATATATTCAGTTTTAGTTTTGCTCAAATGAAGGTCTTTAGACGTCAAGGTAGACCTCCATAATTCAAGTTTTTCCTGGACATTTTTCTCTCATCTTATCCACGAGAAGGATATCATCAGCAAAAAGCATACGTCCAGGTACATCCTCTTGTAAATGTCCAATAAGATCATCCGTAACTAAAGCAAAAATATACGGGCTTAAAGCCGATCCCTGATGTATCTTCCAAGCATGGAGTCAAAAATTTCTCAAAACATAATATAATTTTTCTAAGCTTATATTCCACGGCTCACTCTTATCACTATATGGTGTTTCGTAAATTTAATTCATCTATAAGTTAACATA